GTGGCAAGTTAGATAGTTGTTCTCGATGAAGAATGCAAATGTCATTCCTGCTTGATTACTCGTCATATAACTTTTAAGATCACCATGGCACTATCACGCATAGGGATTAAGACCACAATGGCATGCAATGCTTTATGACAGTCAGTATAATAGAAAGGCGCTTACCATATTATATTAATATAATGTTAAAGTAAAAAACAGAATATACAGGGTTTGGAGGCAGCGGTAAGTGTGCATGGATGATGAAAACTATTATATAATTGACAAAGCAAGCACCCCATGGTGCTACCGTCAATAATGCCTGAATAGGCAGCCGGTGAAGTAGCCCGTCAAAACAATAAGAACGGGTGTTTTACGAAATGTGAGCAGAGTGAATAACGTGTCGGACGGTAAGTGACACGTCGAAGCGAGAACAGTGACGCAGTTCTGCAAAACATAATTAGTGGGAAGCTAATAAGTCCCAGCACAAAAGTCACACACATGCGCCACGCGCGTATGACGTCATTATGCACGTCCGCGAGTGTTCTGCTTGTCTCCTGGTGAGCAGGGCCGTTTCCGCCTCCTTAGCCGGCCGCATACTCTGAACGTCCGGTCTCGTGGTCCCGGGGTCACTCTGAACGTCCGGTCGTATGGTCCCGGGATCACTGAACGTCCGGCCTTGTGGTCCCAGGATTACTGAGCGTCCGATCTTGTGGTCCTGGGGTCACTGAGCGTCCGGTCTCGTGGTCCTGGGATCACTGAGCGTCCGATCTCGTGGTCCTGGGGTCACTGAGCGCCCCGTCTCGTGGTCCTGGGGTCGTCGGGCCAAAACGTGGCGCCAATGCCTGCAACACTTCGTGTTTCAGGGCTGAGGAGCCGACCATGAGCTCGGGTCGCATGGCAACCGGAAATAAGCGGGGCTGTCCAGCGAGTCGTATGTAAAGCGGTGAGCAGCGTGGACGCACGTGACCTGGGTGGACGGAGGTGTATTCAGGCGGATTTCACGTGAATCGCACCGAATGGTATTTGTTGATCGAATCAAACAAGATGTGGTCGCGACGGCTTATCAACGCATCGGAAAATCGATTTAATCTTTCGACACAATATGAGATGCAGCAGGAATCACCAATAATCGATGCCGTTGAAAAGCATTGTTTGTACCCCTCCTATCATTTGGTATCCAACGCAGGTAAACAACAAATATGGATGGCGCAGTGGTGGTCTCCGCAAGCAAAACCACTGGGTTTACCGGTGATATCCGTTAACTTTTCAGATTACGTACAATACTACAATAGGACTCAGCGTGTTATAATCTACTCACCAGGCACGTTCCCGAATTGCTTTCAGAGTCCATATTTTAAAAAGGCCGGTCTAAGCCCGGTGAACCGAATTAAGTCAGTTATTCAAATCACAGATGAAACAGTAGTATTAGCTTTATTCCTCGGAAAAATGGAGAATGGAAATATAGTTAGGTTGATATTTCGGCCACGTGCTTTTCTCGAAACAATAGCAGAAGTGAATTCAAAATTGCCTGCCGATGGCTCCACTGGATTTTTCAGTTTTTCTTAAGAGCAAGCCACACTTTTTACAGGACACCAACATTCAGGGAATTTAACAAAGAGCGATTGGCGGTCATTACCAAGATACAGTGTCTATCTAAGAATTAGAATGCCCGGACATACGTGTACATGCAAACGAACTCGGGCAAATAGGCATCACGCATTACGCTTCATTTGAACATGCAGTCGAGTTGAAGTAAACAGGCATCACACATTGCGCACCAATTATACATGCAAACGATGTAAACTGAACAGGCATTGCACATCACGCGTCAGGCATTACTTACACATGTAAGCGATTTTAGGCTAGCGCACATCACATATAGAGACACATATCACGTTCGCAAAATTGGCCATGATGAGCCCTGTAGGCTAAGATTTGGTCGCCAACTTTTTATGAGAATGCAATCACTATTATATAATATACAGGAAAGTAAGTGAACCTTTCTAATATATGTCATAATAAGCGGGGCTGTCCAGCGAGTGCCCAGCACTCATACTTCCAGCGGCAGCAGCTTCTGGAACAGCAGCAGCAGCTGCTGCTTCCAGCTACGGCAGCGGGAGAGTGAATGCTGATGTTCTGTGAAAACTGTGGCTTGCTCTTTCAAAAAATAAATGCTCTAAGAATAAATTCACTATTATATAGTAGACAGGAAAAGAAGTGGATCTATTGTTATAAAAGTCGATAACCAAATCTTAACATACAGGGCTCATCATGGCCAAATATGCGAACGTGATATGTGCCTCTATGTGTGATGTGTGCCAGCTTAAAATTGTTTGCCTGTGTAAGTGATGCCTGACGCTTGATGTGCGATGCCTGTTCAATTGAAATCGTTTGCATGTATAATTGGTGCGCGGTGTGTGATACCCGTTTAGTTCAACTCGACTGCATGTTCAAATGAGGTGTGATGCGTGATGCCTATTTGCTTGAATTCGTTTGCATGTACACGTATGTCCGGGCATTCTAATTCTTAAATAGGCACTGTATCTTGGTAATGGCTGGCAATCACTCTTTGTTAAATCCTCTGGATGTTGGTGTCTTTTGAAAACTGTGGCTTGCTTTAAAAAAAACCTGACAAAACGAGCAGGATCGTCGGCAGGCAATTCTGAGTTCACTTCTGCCATTGTTTCGAGGAAGGCATGTTGCCGAAATATTAACCTGACTATGTCTCCATTCTGGTTTTTTCCGAGGAATAAAGCTGATAATGTTGTCTTATCTGTGCGGCTAATGTTCCCCGCTAATGCACTGAACAACTTGCTGTTATTTAAATCGGTCCATGAAGGACCATCCGAACTTGTAATGTATAAATGATCAATTTCTAGGCTTTATTCAGCTGTGTGCCCGCCATCTGATGTCACCTTCTCTAGTATGTTTAGTTTATGTGTGGCATGAATGCCTCAAGTCCCGAATAAAACCATGGATAGCCCATTGGACCCACCAAATGTGTGAAAACACATCCAGTCACCAGGGCTTCCACCAGTGGGGCACGGAAGTATGAGTGTTCATAACTTTGCTGAATTTGAAATCAATAGGCAAGCGTTCTCAAGAAAGGAGGTGACTTAAAACCTGAATAATCCTTGAAAACGCTGCCTGTTGGCAGAGCCTTGGCCGCTGTGAGGCTGGTGGCCGCCCCGCGATTGTTCTGAATCAGTTCAAGACGCCATATACAGGAATAATGCTTCGATATTGCCTTCATGCATATTCGGTTTCAAATTGTGCCAATATTGCATAGCAGTGGAATCCAAATCAATTTTCATGTTTAGCCTGTATAAACATTCACTTGATCCGGATCCACAATCCGCTATGTTGTGACCTTGGGATCCGACCCGGAGGACTAAGTTGTAGCGTGCTCAGTCGCCGCACTGCGGCTTTAACCCGTTAAGAACGCCGGCTTCTGGGTCCGTCCGTTTCTCCGCCGAGTGACGGTAGGGAGCTCGAGTGTGGGGCTGCCGACCGACGCCTCCTGGCGCACTGTGGCCCCACCGCCCCACTGGCGGGTGGGCTACAGACACACAGCACGACGCGGTCATATCTGGTCGGCTGACCTCGACCGACGGAACCAGTGGGAAACTCACACATCTCCATCAGCGAGAATTAGTTTGGTATGATGGTGTAGATGCATTGCGATAATAAATGACGATTGGTAGCATCCGATTCTAGTAAGCCAGGAAAGTGCATACACTAGAGTTAGCAACTCATCGCTTCCAAGTGCAAATACATTGATTGCAAGGCTTTAAGATTACTTTGTTGTGACCTGACTTCGGGTGCGCTCACTGTGTTCTGCTTTACTCAATGAATTCAAGGCACATCGGTGCATTCTTACATAAATTTGCAGCCGCATGGCATGCATTCGTAACACTTCATCCATGCATCAGCTGAGCCAGCCGACGTTGCTATAGCAACAGGGCGCTGCTTTGTTGATATTCTGTGGTGACGCGACGCATCTTCCACGTGGTTCCCCGCCCTTGGTATCGCGCTACAGACTGATGCGGACGTGCGCTGAACGTACTCAGAAGCACATGATAATTGTTTTGTGTTCGAATAACCAGAAGCTGCAGAATGCATAACCCCTCATCCCAGCATGAGTGAAGACGTCACTGGTGCTGATGTTGGTGCAGAGCAGGAACAACAAGGTGACGCTCCACCATCCGAGGTGAGCCAGTGGTAGGGAAACATACCCTTCCGTCTTTATCCTCTGTGCACAACGGCACTGCACGATGTGCATCAACGGTACTATTCCTGATTGCCCGACTATGACATATTCCCGCATTTGCTTTGTTCGTTCGTTGTGTTTTTTTTTTGTTTTTTTTTGTTTACTCATTTAACGACAAGCCGCCATAGGAACACTGACTGTGTGGCCAGGAGCTCGAGTGCTCGTGTGGAGCTCGCGTGCGGGCGCTTTACGTCCTCGTTTGCGCGCCTAATCTGCCTGACAACGTAAGCATATGACTACTGGATAGTCTGGTGACAATTCTCCGGCTTGGAAAGTTTTGCACCCTTTATGCTGAAGATGTGATTTATAGCCGCGCTATCCACTGGCCCAGATTTCCCGCCCCATTCTTCGGAGTGTGACCACACCCATTCATATGGAACGGGTCTACAGCGTAAACGTGGGTGTAGATCCGTGCTTAAGTGTGCAGGAAGTGAAGCCAGTAGGAGTTTCTAGACCACTTGGCAGTTTTCCTCAGGCTAGTTGATATAAGAATCCTCCCCACTTCAGTCCCAAAGCTTCCCCCTTGAACACTCCTGTTTGCGTTCGCGCGTGGGGTCAGCGAGAAATTGTCGTCGTTCGTTGTTCTGGCAGGCGCCAGCCACCCGTTCCTCCTCCGCCACCATTGCCAAGGTAAAGGAAGAGCCGCTGACACCACCGAAGGGGAGCTCATCCGAGGCGATCCCCGCCGGCACCGAGCCGGCTGAGGCGGTGGTCAAGTCCGAGCCCGACGTTACGGCCGGAAGAGCGTGCAGAGCAGGCGCAGCTGCCTCCGGCGGGAGAGGGCGGGGAGGGCCAGGCTCAGGTCGAATGTGAGGAGCAGTCCCAGCCTGTAGCAGAGAGTGCAGAGGCAGCGAATACACCCGCTGAGGGCGCAGAGGCAGTCAAAGTTCCAGCCGTTGAGGGTTCAGATGCCGCGCAGCCGCCTGCCGAGGGTGCAGAGGCGATCCAGGCTCCAGGCGACGACGCGGGCACCGCCCCGCCCCCTGGTGAAGGAGCGGAGGCGGCTGGGGACGCCGCCGACGGTGAAGAGAAGGTGCCAGCGCTCGTGAAGGTGGTCCATTCGGCCCGCAGCGTGTTCCGGCAGCGGGATCAGAAGGAGTACGACCCGTTCACAGCCCACCTAGAGCGGCGCATCACGAAGCTGTTCGAGGTGAGCGTGCGGCCGACGACTGGCGACTCAGGGCGTGGCGCGTGGGCTCGTTGCAGCCCGACCCTGACGGGGTTCAGGCTGTGTAAATATCCCAGGGCCTTGTGATTCAGAGCTGACCGGATGACCCTCCATGCAGCTCCTGTAATTTGAGCAGTTTGTGCGGCACTCACCCCCCGCAGAGCGCCTGCGTTTAGGTGCGTGACACCTCCCCCTCCCTTCAGAACGACTCGACAGTAGTTAGGAGGTGATCCTCACAGCACATGCCAACCCGAGGGTGGGTGCGTGGCGGCCCTGCAAGGCCTAGCGACCCGGGGCTGGTTGCGTGGCTCTCCCGCAGGCTGGCGACCTGGGGCTGGTTTTATGGCGTTCCCTGCTGGACACCTAGAGGTGGTTGTGTGGCACCACCTACAGGCCCAGTCAAGTCAAAACTGGTTGAGATGAGAAGTGATGAGCCCAAACACAACGGCTTTGTGAGGATTGTGTGTTTTGGAGATCACGCTGCCACCTATCTGGGACGACTATCACTTTGATTCCGCTCCAAACAAGCTGCTCAAGCCTCACACAAGCGGCGTCAGTTTCGCAAAAGACAACTGTTGTTTGTCATTTCCGTAACCGTAAAGCGCCGTTTGTGGAAACATTTTCCGGTTGACGTTGCTTCTGTATTGCTTTAGACTGCTGCACTAGATCGAAATGGGGACCTTGCCAATATGGATGAATATGGACGACAAGTCATGCGCGAACTTGTAGTCAGTCCCGTTGCATTTCATAATTGGACTATTTATAAAGGGCTTTAAATACAAAGGAATTTCTGTGAAAGTTACGTAAACAAAAGTAAACAAAGCGCAATGAAAACTCGACGATGCTAGAATGATGTGAAGTTGGAGCGCGTGCGTCTGTTTCTGCGCTTCGCCTAACCAGATCCAATATCCGTTGCACTATTCCGACTCACGAACGGACTGAACACTGCCACGGATGACGCAGCTCCGTGCCTGGTACTGGGCTGCTCGCGGCCTGAGACCGGCGCCGAGCCCCAATAAAGCCTTAATCAACACGCTAGATTGGTCTTTCCGGTCAGTGGCTTCAGGTATGTGCCTAAAGCTGATCGACCGTGGACCAGCGGACTGGTGTTTTGACGATCACTTTTAGTTGCTAGGATGAGCACTGACACTTGCTGATGATGATCTAGACGGACTAGACATAAAAAAGATGTATCGTACTCTGAGAGGTTAACAGAACTAATTCTAAAATGAGTTATGATGTGTTAAATGCATCTTAACCTAGATGCTAAATGCTGAAGTCAGCACATGTGCCTGTGAATGAAGGAACCGCCTCTGCACATATCACCGAGGTATATCTCTATATTGTCTAATCTCAGACCCTGTACACAGAAGGGACGGACCGGATCAGACTTCAAGAGACGGCGACGCAGCTGCAACGTTCCTGTTCGCACCATGCTACTAAGCTGCGATGGTGTCCCTCAGGCGCTGGATACGGAGGGAACGGGCCGGGTGGACGTGCACGAGCTGGGCACGCTGATCCGCTCAGTCGGCTGCTGCCCCAGCGAGAGTGACCTGCAGGAGATGGTGACCCAGCTGGAGGAGGAGGGCCAGCCGGGCCTCATCCGGCTGGAGACCGTCATGCCTTACATCATCCAGTGCGTCGAGGACAGGAAGTATCCGTCCGCCACCGCCGAGCAACTCCTACAGGCGTTCGAGGTTAGTTTGGTTGTGCTGCTAAAACATGGAGCTGATAATGTTAGGAAGAATTTAGATTTCATGAACCGTTGATCGTTTTCACGTATTTCTCTCTCTCGCCTGCATCGTCATGCACGTAGTCTTTGTCTTATATTGATAGGTATCCTCGCAGGGTGCCGCAGCCCGGCCTGGCGTTCAGCAAGAGGTCCCTTATAGCAAACCTATTACAAATACTGGCACTTACCTTTCGACAAGCGGGTGATTATTCCCGCTGATGTGCCAATCGCCTTCTGTTTACTTGTGCACAATTCGTATAGCCAAAGCGATGTCATAAAGAAGCCAATTCCAGATAAAGACTGCTGAAAATCTGCGTGTACGTGATCGCTCACATGCTGCCCATCACACAAACCAGGTGCTGGCCGAAGAGCAAGAGGGCTTGGAAGAAATCGTTCGTGGGCCGAGCGGACCGGCCAAGAAAGAGAAGAAGGAAGAGGATGAGGGCACTATCCCGCAGGACAAGCTGGTGCACATTCTGACGGAAGAGGGCGAGCACTTCAGCCAGGAGGAGGTGGAGGAAATGTTGTCCGTGGTGTCGGCCTCTGACTCAGCTCGAGTCGACTACACCGAGTTTGTCAAGCAGCTGGTGGTGCCGGAGCTGTGGTGACGCGCTTCGAGCGGACAGCACGTGTCAAAGATGCCACCCAGGTGACCTTATGCTGAGTGCGTCATTGTGGGAGGACTGAGGCAGGGAGGATGACCATGATGACCTGAGGACAGGAATACAAAAATGCTTTAGTGGTTTGCAGTATCACGCAATGTTTTATTTGTGGTCGCGAATGATAAGTGGGTGATAAAAAAGGCTTCATTCGAGGGAAACAAAATCATCGAAAGATCAGGGTTTTGCCTCCAGTGGACTACGCTGTAAAGAAGGGGATTCATGTCCTGGAGTCGCACTGTGTACTATTGCACATGGAGAATGAGTCGCTGACACTTTTAATACCACAGGTTTTTGCTGGGGCCTGAATGGTGAGGTCCATGACCGGATGACCGTACCGCATTTTATTTTATGCCACTCCGATCGCACCCATTCCCTCACCCTTGGTCTCAGCAGGGATTTCACCATATAATTTTGGGGGAGCAGGCCTCAGTGCTGACTTTAGCCCCCCCCCTCTTATGAATATGGGCAAAATATATATATATATATATATATATATATATATATATATATATTATATATATATATATA